TCAAGAAATAAGTCTTAATTGGTTAACGCAGGCAGTCGGTCAAGAAATAAGTCTTAATTGGTTAACGCAGGCAGTCGGTCAAGAAATAAGTCTTAATTGGTTAACGCAGACAGTCGGTCAAGAAATAAGTCTTAATTTGTTAACGTAGGCAGTCGGTCAAGAAATAAGTCTTAATTGGTTAACGCAGGTCGTTTGTCAGGATATAAGTGTTAAATGGTACACACCAGTAGTTTGCCAAGATGCAGGTCTTCATTGGTACGCCCAGGCGGTATGTGAAGATGTACGTCACAGGCAGTCTGTCAAGATGCAAGTCTTAATTGGTAAACACAGGCAGTCTGTCAAGATGTAAGTCGTAATTGGTAAACACCGGCAGTCTGTCAAGATTTAAGTCTTAATTGGTAAACATATGAGCAGTAACCTATTTTCAATTTAAATGTTTACATTGCACATTCAAAAATCATCCGCCATTATTTCACTTTATTTACTGAAATATTTACTATTGTAATAGTTAAATCCTAACCCCGTAGGTCACTGAATTATTTAAATTATATTTTATTTGAAAAGAGTTAAAATAATTCCTAATATGTCCTTGAAGCATTTTTAATTGAAAAGAGTTAGAATAAACCTTTATAAGTTATACTGGTTTAAAGACTTATACACTGTTAATATATGCGTTAAGAAGTGTTTTGTCGTCTAAAACCATGTTCTTTACACATAGCATCTAACATGTGTTCAACTCATCGAATTTAGTCATCCAATAGGTTTCATTTATGTATGCTCACATACCATTCAATGTTGGCTGTTACAGTTTCTAAACGGATTACATCATCATACAATGAAGTATTTTTGTATAACAGCTGAACCAAGACCAACACTTCTTTGTATTATTCTAATATCAATATAAGCACTATGTTTTTGTTGTCGTATTTTCGGCCCGTCATTTCCGTATTGTGTATCGGGCCTTTCAATGCCGTAGCGTAAAAAATGGTAACACATGCGTGACGATGATATGTAATCATCCAATATCGAGCCTTAATTGAGAAATAGTTATTTAAATAACCACGACAAATGTCTCGTGCATTTACGAAATAAAGTCTCCAATCAAAAGACATATATTGATTTACGGGAAGGCACTGACACGAGATGCATTCAAGAAAGGCATATATGAAGCCTATGGAATGCTATATCGAGTTAATCATTCGTACAAATGAAGAGCACTTACTTTGTTACAATACAATGTTTATTTAAAAAAGCGAAGTTGATAGGATAACTTTTGATATCATAATTTAAATTAAATTCCCTCATTACTATGTATGTGAAGGTAGATAACTGTATTTAAAAAAAATAACCCTCTGCGAACACTCCCATCCGGATCCAAAAGGTTGTAAAATGAAACATAAATGGAAAAGAAAGCCATAGTGTATATATTTTTTTCTTTGTTCACTCTTTTCTTGAACCTTTATATTTTGTTTGCTTTTGGCTTGTAAAATATTACTCATTATCCATGCAGTTTCGTGTTTTATATATTTTGTGATAAAATTGATATTTGTTGAGTTTATAGGCATGTTTTGTTTTCCATTTTTGTATTTGCTATAGTTCTGAACAATTCCACAACCCCAATAAATGAAAAATATTATAATTGACGAAAACTTAATTTTTGGCATTTCCCTTTAAGATAAAATGTAACTATGTAAGCATCTCTGCATTTTATGTAGCACATTAAAACACAAATGCTTTGCATTTTCTAGATAATGGAACTGATGAGAAGGAATTTGACTGCATTTCCCGAGTACAGAAAATGTGAACTTATCACTATTGTGTAAGTAATTATGATCAACATTAACACAAGCACATATCACGTAGCCATCTTATTGTCACATTAACTGAACTTATTTCTAGCAAATTTTGTAATCAAGAAATATTAGTTAAGGAACAGTGTTCTCTTTCATCTACTGTCTAGTGAATGATTGTATGTCAAATGCTGAGTAAAATCTAAATGTATATAAAAAAAAATTATAAACAAATATTCATCGTATAACTGACCACGAAATAAAAAATATGAGAATTCTTTACGAATCACTTTTTTATTATTATATTATTATTCAGAAATGACCCGGTTAAGCTCCTCATAAACCTGACGTTTGAAGGCAATTTTCCTGTAGAGGAACTCCAAAGGAACGTGCAACAGTACATTGTCGCGTCATCACAATTACAGGAGTACCAGTACTCCACTGTATATACTCTAGGAACACTTCTAATCCATTATCAGGATGTGACGTCACAAGTCAATATGATATTCGAAGTTATGAATATGACCTGGTCCGCTGATCTTCTTGATGCTACGTCACCAGTGTTTAAACATCATATTGAACTGTTTAGTGCCGATGTAAGTAGTGCTTGTGCATCTGCCCTCAACGTTTGTCTCTGTTGGTGACCAGGATTGTTGCATGTTGAGATAAATATATGTACGAAGATATTAAGATTTTAACATGAACGTAGTAGAATGTTCAAACGGTGATCGACACATAGTAAATACTTTCGGATAAAAAACACAATGGAACATGTGTATAAGGGACAATAGGCCAAACAAATTGGAGACGTTTCGCAATTATAAATTATGATGAATGACATTTCATAGTTTATAATACAAGACGTATCAAGAAATTATCAACAGAAAGTGCATTTTTAACTTACGAGAACTTGTCAAGCATATGACGGGGTTTAAAACAAGTTATCATAAAGTGTATACGTGCCAATGTAAGGAATATCAACTTGCTAAATGATAGAGAAACCAAACATATTGTATTATTAGTAACAACCAGAAATATAAATGCTGCTTCTGAGATCCGTACGTAGTGAGATTACCTATCAATTAACACTGTTACAAAGGTGACACCTACACATCTACTGCTCTTGTCCATTACCAAACAGGTGACGAGATTACTAGGATCCACTACACGGTCGTATCCTTTCAAACAGGTGGATACTATAATGTTTCGGTAAGTGAACACGTTTTGATACAATATCATATGTGTTTTAGTCTGTAACGGATCCAGATCAATATTACAAATGTCTGTTCGACGTACGTTTGGAATAACAAGCTCCGGAATAGACTTTTATATAGTATAACTACCTGTATCAACTTGCAAGCGTTTATATTTGCTGTGCTTATTAAGGCCGAGATACAACATAGGTGTAGTACCATTCAATGCACGTCCCATACCATTGTAACCTGCAGCGTGTTCACATAGATGGTCTAATGAACAGTATGCTTATAATATCAATATAATTATATTTGAAGCAATGACCCGGTCACGATCACGAGTGTACTCATTTTCAAAGGCAACCATTCCGAGGGGGCGCTTATGGCAAACACGTCAGAAATCATCTTTCAAAATACTCCTCAGTATTCATATAATGGAAAGATAGTGAATCTCATTGGAGATTTACTTGTATACTTTTCGGAATGGGACAGCGTTCTTCATGGTATGTATAACAAACAAGATTTCCATATGCAGCCAGATCAAACATTAATACTATTTACAGATTTTTTTTGAACTCTTGACTAATAACGTTGATTAAATAAAAGACAGAATATATGTGTATGTATAATACAAAATTATGGTAGGAATGAAATTTGTTTAATAAAAAAAATCCAGGAAGAATTAGTACAATATCACATATTCTTCCAACAGTTTATATAAATATCTTTAAGCGTAAGAATATTAAATGCAAGGCGGCACATGTTTATTCCTGTTATGAACAAAACCTATAACTAAACGTAAAGATAACACCAAGTTCGACATCATAAAAGTGGCTGGATTGTGTTACCAGTGCGTCTGAAATATGCCTGAGTTGGAATGTAGATGGCAGATATACAACATATTCAAATAATAGTAAGATACTACCGGTGGCATGTATCGTTCTTCCAACCGATTTATTTCTTGTGTTATTTTTTCACATAATGCAATAGAAAAGCATGTACCTCGTTTGGAATCCACTATTATGTTGCCCGTCACACCTATTCACTTATAACCTTTGTTCACAGACGCCTGGCTAGCAAACATGACGTTGTCAATCCATGATTTCCTGTACGAGCCTGATCTAGTTGACCCATTGTCTCAAAAGTTTGAGGAATTCCAGAATGTGTTTTGTAATGACGTATGTATTCATGAATGGTGTAGTTGAGTCTAGGGTGTTGTGCCTTATATACGTCTGCACGTGTTTAACTAAACGAATGCTTATGACTTATAAGGTATTCACGTTGGAAGAAAAGCACTTTGTGAGTTCTATTCAATATCAGTATACACAAATCTAACAATTCTGGAAAAATAGCTTATAACATGTACACTTACTTTAACCTGGTTATATGCCAAGGGCTTTGACTCCTCCAATCATTTAAGAGAATATGATGACGCGTCCACAGAGCATGGGTTTAGATCCTCCCATCAGTTAAGAGTATATGACGACGCGTCCACAGATCATGNCATAACGGCACGATGTAAGTAGTTGTTGTGAAATGTATATACAACAACACATATAACGACACGATGTAAGTACTTGTTGTGAAATGTATATACAACAACACATATAACGGCACGATGTAAGTACTTGTTGTGAAATGTGTATACAACAACACATAACGGCACGATGGAAGTACTTGTTGTGAAAGATATATACAACAACACAAGTGAATCAAAATACAAAGGTTCGATCGAGAGTTGGTTCGGTGTGCAAGGTTCGACGTTCTATCAACAGCCAAGGTCATTTAGAGACGTGCCTACATGTGTGTTATGTATGGGTGCGGTAGTGTAGGTGTGCACATTACACTGACAACTGTCGGAGTAATATCCAAGGTGACCAATACAGAGTGTGGAGGCATTGTAACGATAGGAAACGTAGATTAACAATTATATAGCTGATATAATTAAATAGTATATTGAAGTGGAAATGCGTGACAAAATATAATTTTCGCGTTACCGTTTACAGATATTGATGAATGCTATTTCGCGCCCTGTCAACATAGAGGGACGTGTCACAACATCGCTGGCACGTACGCATGTCGCTGCAGTCCGGGATGGTACGGGTTCAACTGTGAAAACAGTAAGTTCATACACTAATATGTACTATTAACACTAATTAATTACAGTTGTATTATTATCCATAACCGTAGATGACAAATAGAGTTATCTTCCTTTCATTTCAGAATATTTTATTATAGATATCGCAAATACAAAAGGCATCAGGTATCAGGTATAGTCTATGCAAGCCCTCTTCTTGCATGATAAACACATATATATTGTTGTTATACTTTAAAATTTCAGGTGTAACATTATTTTTTTAAACGAGAGATACCATTAGATCGGTCTGTGGTCAGACATGATCTGGGGTCCAGCAGAGGCTAATTATCAATACACTCCCAGTATTCTAGGTTAGGACCACTCCGACCTTTGACTTACAGACCATTTCGACCTTTGACTTACAGACCACTCAAATTATTCTAGGTTGGGACCATTCCATATCTTTGACTTACAGACCACTCAAATTATTCTAGGTTGGTACCGTTCCAGAACTTTGACTTACGGACCACTCCAATTATTCTAAGTTGGGACCATTCCATATCTTTGACTTACAGACCAAGACATGCGACAGTAGTAGATGCGAATCAGTAATAGTCGTATTTGTAGGTGGTTATGTAACATGACAATATATTTTCCTACAGATTGGAATGAGTGTGCTCTATATCCATGCCTGAACAACGGCACTTGCGTTGATACCGTGGGGTCTTTCCAGTGTCGGTGTGAGAGCGGCTGGGCGGGACAGACCTGCTCTGACAGTAAGTATTGCTGAAGTAGTCGAATATCTCGGAAGAAAACAAAAAAAGCAGAAATACAAAACATTATATTCGGCACTGCATTATAGGGACGCTTGGCAACAAGGCTGCTATACGTTATATTTGGTACCACATTCTAGGGACGCCTGGCAACAAGGCTGATATAACGTTATATTTGGTACCACATTCTAGGGACGCTTGACAACAAGGCTGATATAACGTTATATATGGTACTGCATTATAGGGACGCTTGACAACAAGGCTGATATAACGTTATATTTGGTACTTCATTCTAGGGACGCTTGACAACAAGGCTGATATAACGTTATACATGGTACTGCATTATAGGGACGCTTGACAACAAGGCTGATATAACGTTATATTTGGTACTGCATTCTAGGGACGCTTGACAACAAGGCTGCTATAACGCCAACATGCTTAAACTTAATCAGGAAAAGACGAAACTAAATGTCTTTTCCCCAAAGTGTCAGCAAACAATGGCTCTCCAGCTCAAGGTTGGTGCCAGAACTATTGAGACTGTTCCAGCTGGTAAAAACCTAGGGGTATACTTTGACAGTTCTCTGAACATGGAGAAACAAGTGAACGCTATTGCCAAATCCTGTTACTACCAGATCAGGAGCATCGGCTGTATTCGGCAGTGACTAACTGCAGATGCATGCAAGATTTTGGTGCATTCACTTGTTACCTCTCGGTTGGATTATGGTAACGCTCTGCTCTGTGGTATATCTGACAAACTAACTAGTCGTCTGCAGAG